AAAAATTCAATTTACAAAAAAAACATAAAATTTACAATTTTATTATTATTACTATTAATTTTTATATTTTTTTTTATGAAAAAAATTTATGAAAATTAAGTTAGCCGACATTTAAAAATTAAAAAAAATTTTTTTATTGAAAAAATGACTACAAAAAAAAAAATGTCATTTGTTAAAATCATGAAAAACTGTAAGTGCAATTTTTAAAAAATATTTTTTGTTCTAATTTAATTATTAAAAAAAAAAATCAAAAAATTAAAAACGTCGGCTTACTTTAGTATTATAAAAAATTTTATGAAATTTACTAAAAAAATTTAACAGTTTTTTTATCTTAAATGTTCATACCTATTCAAAAGTTTAATTTAAAAAAAAAAAAATGTATTATAAAACTGGAGTTATTTGACAGCTGTCAATTTTTAAAATTTTTAATACAAATCATTTACAACAAAAAAAAAGAAATGCTTTTACAAATTTTCTTTATTGAAGTTTTATCATAATTTGATTGCTAAAAATTAAAAAAAAAATTGATGATATTATTTAGCTGTCATTTGACCATTTTTTAATTTTATTTAACAAAAAAATTTGTACTGAAAAATTCTTTTAAAAAAATTTCAATTTTAATTTATTAAATTTTCTAAATGTCAATTTTTTTGATTTTTTTAAATGTCAATTTATTTTTTTAATTTTTTTGCCATAATTTGTTAGAAAAATTCTTAAAATTTAATAAATACCTGCTGTATTATTTTTTTCATCACAGTTCAAAAATTTTATTTTTAATTTCCAAAAAACTTATTATTTTTATTAAAGCTTATCCGAACAAAAACAGTTTCACTGTAAAAAAAAGCGCGTTAAGTCCACGTTCATAAGACTATTAAGAGAAAAATTAGTTTTTTTCTTTACAAAAAGATATAAAATTAAAAAATTAAAAAATCCAAGTAACCGGTATGATTGTTTATGATTTTCGGAAATTAAAAAAAATTTTTTTGTAAATTTAAAAATTAAAAAAACAATTTTAGAACGTACTTGGTGCGTCATATTGTGCATTTCAATTTTTTTAAAGTCCTAGTAAATAGATTTTACGAATTTAGTTAAAAGTAAAATATTTTGCAACCGCGCACACTAAATACGTTCCAAAATGGTTTTTTTGATTTTTAAATTTACAACAAAATTTTTTTTAATTTCCGAAATTCATAAACAATCATATCGGTTACTTGGGTTTTTTAATTTTTTTATTTTATATCTTTTTGTAAAGAAAAAACTAATTTTTTTTTTCTTAATAGTCTTATGAACGTGGACTTGGCGCGATTTTTTTTACAGTGAAACTGTTTTTGTTCGGATTTATCATCTCCAACAAATTTATAACTCATTTTTAGCAATACATTCTTTCCTTATATATAATCAATTTTTATAATAAGGTAGAAGACCCAATTATTTTCACTGGCCTGGTTGTTTGACACTTGCAATTTTATTCTAATTAAAAAAATAGAATGTTCTCAAAAAACTAATTATCTTAAAATTTATAATTCAAATATGATGTTTATTAAATTATCAGAGTTGATTTATTTTTTTTAATTAAAATAAAATTGCAAGCGTCAATAACTATGTCTTTTACCTTAGTAATGTTATTAGTAAATTAGTAAAATAATGCTATTAGCAAGAAATTGCAATTTTTTGACAACAATGAGAATTAAAAATAAGAAAAGAAAGGCTTAATATACTATTTTTCATTTTTATTAATTTTAGTGTGATAGATTGTTTATAAATGAAGAATCATAAAAAGTATAGTTTCTCATAATTATCTATTCTAAAGATTTGTGTCGACCAAGCGAGGTTAAGTCGGCCATATTGATTGTAGTATTTTAATAATGAGAATACCAAGTTTTTTTATATCCAGTAAACTTACTCCTATGGATAGTAAACTTTGGTATTCTTATTTTAGGAATACTTTTTTTTTAACCACAGGGAAAAGTTTTCTAGGAGGAAAAAAACTTTTTTTTTCAGTGTGTATTGATATTGTATCAATGTGACATTATTCTTATCAGTAACATCATAGCAACTGTTTCTCTTACATTCACCGATGTACCTGATTATCTGTCTTAGCAAAATTATTACAAGAAGGTATAGTCTGCACTTTTAGCATTAACCGTAAAAGTTCACAAAGCACACGGATAACCTTAAAGGAACCTTTTGGCTAAGCAAGCAATATTCAACTAAATATCTTAAAAAATTCATCTTGAGATTGCGAGAGAATCGAGTTTGAGAGACAACAAAACAATAGTTAAGCAGCTGTTTCGTTATACCACGACGGGCCGTGCCCAATAAATGTAATTTAAGGAAGCTCTCGTTCTCTTGCTTTGCAAAAGTTCAATTGTAAAGATTAACTTGACTATCGAATACAATCTCATAACATCCCAACTAAAAATCAATTTTATTCTGCCGCAATCATTTTTTTAGATCAGCAAATTTTTATTTACTACTTAAGCGTGTGTCGATCATAAAGGATTTGTATTTTTATATAACAAGACGCTATTAATTGCCACGGTAAATAATAAACCTAAATAATCGTAAAAATAAAATTGCGTGGGAACTGAGTAAATAGTAGGATTAAATCGAGATCAAGATGTTAGTTATGCGAGTATATAATTGAATGAGGCTTGGAAATAGTCTCTTTCGAGAATCGTAACCTTCTGTGGGTGGATGACCTTGTTTTACAGTGCTTGAACGACACCATAAATGTGTAAATAAACACATGATTATAGAAAACTCTAAATTATTCTACAGCAGACTCGTTAAAATACACATATAAAGATAACGATTGACAAGTGATTAGATACAATGACCACGAACCTATACTCGCTTATAAATGTCAGTGTAACTCACTATTGAGTACAAAATAATTAAAATCTGCAATATTCACTTTTATTCGATTTATCTTAATACACTGACCTATTACCAATGATTTTTAATTTTAAATAAAAAAATAATTGCAAAACACGACAATACATTGAATTTTATCCAATAAGATCCTGTAATGTAAAGCTCTGAATGGCTATGTATTAAGAGTGAAAGTAATGTCAGTGATTTGAAACAATAATGTCGGATGATTGACGTTTCAAAATTAAAAGAAAAGATAATGTAAATCTACGGATTCTTAAAGAAAGACACTAAAGACAAAAAAATTTGGAAAACAATTGACTTTCCAGGCCATCCTTGAAATTTTGTGATAATCTCAAGCTTACAATATTCAAAAATTTGTACACTTCTTTAAAGAAGTTCCTCCGTCCAACCACTTTTCGACGGATTTTGTTAATTTTTTTTTTTTTTCACGGTTTAAGAATAACATTTACTAAAAAATCTCGGAGTTTAAGCATTTTTGATCGTTTATGAAGCAAAATATTTAATAAACAAATTCCCCATTTACAGGCTTATTTCTCATTAAAAGCATCTAAAACTCTCAGAATTCGTGAATATTCTGTTACATTAAAAAAATTTCTCGGCAGAATAGCAAAAAAAACTAGCAGAATAAAAAATAATATTTTTTGTTATACTCGCTCCAGAAGTTTAACTTCTAAGCGCTGGGTAGCGTCCGTAAAGGGACTCTTTTCTAGAGACTACCATACCGTCTTTTTTTCACGGCCTAGGCCGTGAAGTTTTACCCCCTCCTTTTTTTTACGAACTTTTCGTGTACACCCAGACGAAATTGAGAGAGATTGTAAAAAAAAAAGTCACATTCTAGCGTACCAACCGATAATTTTTAGTCTTAGTTACTATTGAGTGGCGCTAATTATTTCTCTGCTGGCAGTTTATTACGAAGCGGACCTAATGTTAATAAAATAACAACAACGCCATAAATAAATACTAATAAAAAGTTATTTACATTTTCTGGACATGAGCAAGATTTTAAAATTAATAAAAAGATAATTAATATAAAATTAATTTTTTTTGGCCTTGTGAAACTTCCTAAAATTTAAATATGTCATTATTTGCCTCCTATCCCTCAAAAGTTTTGAGAGAGATTGTAAAAAAAAAGTCACATTCTAGCGTACCAACCGATAATTTTTAGTCTTAGTTACTATTGAGTGGCGCTAATTATTTCTCTGCTGGCAGTTTATTACGAAGCGGACCTAATGTTAATAAAATAACAACAACGCCATAAATAAATACTAATAAAAAGTTATTTACATTTTCTGGACATGAGCAAGATTTTAAAATTAATAAAAAGATAATTAATATAAAATTAATTTTTTTTGCCCTTGTGAAACTTCATAAAATTTAAATATGTCATTATTTGCCTCCTATCCCTCAAAAGTTAAAATTATGGAGCGATAATAACAAAAAAATATTGTATGTCATTCGGCCGTTTACTGGCGATTTTGACAACGACGATTTTACGACATTCGCTTTAAAGTTTGTGACGCGAATGTTCGAAAACGAGCGTAAATTTCCGTCCTCGGCTACGCTTCGGACGTTAAAATTACGCCCGTTTCGAATCTTCCCGCCACAAACCTTAAGCTCATATCGAAATATCGTCGCTGTCAGAAAACCACCACTTCACGGCCTTATGACATAAATATCTATTTTGATTTATTGATAAAAAAAGTAGCACTTCATCGTTTCATTGTCGAGATATAATAATTATAACATTTTTTTCGGTCATTTTGATGTAGTATTTCTTATGATTAATAATTATTTGACAATAGTATCAACCTTCCGACAATAGTAAATGCTCTCTGACCACACTTTACCACAAAGAAACTACCTTAATGAAGTTTAACAAAGTCGAATGATCAGAAAATTGATTATATGTCAACATAAAGCTCTACCTATCACCCATGTTGCAATTAAAGCCATTAATATTTCAATGCTAATCCGGAGTAGCCATCGCAAAAAATAAAATCTAAACATGCAATTTTCTTTCATGCTACTCAGTGTAAATTACAACAACATAAAGTCAATATATCAAGCATCTGCAATAAAAGTACACCTCATAACCATATACCATGCTTCCGAATATACCAGGAAAAAAATCTAATTATTCATTGTGTTACCGATGTTTTACATTATTCCACAACATCATTTTGAAATTAAGTGGATTATCTCCGTGGACATTGAATACGTCCCAACTATTTAGAAAAAATTGTGCGTTTGATAACAGAAGTTTGTCCACCACTTCACATATTGGATCCTTCTATAACATGTTAATAATAATAATAATATTGGTGTTAAATTACTATAGTTTTTTTGATAAGATATATTCCAGCTATTTTTATCAGACCAAAGTTGGAATAATGACGATGGCGATTATGTTCGCATCAAATCTGTGCGCAGTTCTGATTCTTTTATTGTATATAATTAGGCAAAAAATTTTAGTGAGAGTCCTTAATCGTATTATGTATTTAGACAAAAGACTAAATGTTAGAGAGCATGAAATGAAACATACTGTTTATTACATACTATTTTTTGTAAATCTTGTTATCTTTACGGTCAACCATTTTTTGTTGCTCCTACAGTTCCCGACATTCATAGCAGTACTTATTCGCTATTTGCCTGGCATGATTGTTGTTGGAGTGATTTTACAGTACTCATTGATACTAAGCATGATTAATAAACGATTCAGAGTCATTCAATCAACAATCTTGAACTTCGAAAAATTAAAATGGAATATGCTTGGAGCAGAAGTGTTAGTTTCGCATCAAACAGCTATGAATAATATTGATAATCTAAAATCTACATACTACGCATTGTTTGAGATATGTCAAGACATAGAAAATTTTTACGGACTACCGATTTTATTTTCGATTTTAGCAATTGCTATGAGAGCTGTTTTCATGGTATACTTTATGATATCTGAAATTATGGGCGGGCTCAAAGGGGGTGTCACAATGTTCTATTACGGAATATCTATACTTCAGCATAGTTTTCTCCTGATTATACTGACCTCTACTGTAAATAAAATAATTATTCAGGTACATAAGACAGTTTTTATGTTGGCAATTTTTTAATTTAATTTCAGATTTTTTTCAGAATGAGAAAACAGCTCGAATCATTCTTTTGGTTGTGGACAAATGTACGAATCAGAGAACTGATGACAAAGTAAGTAGGACTACGTTTATTATTAATTAATATTAGCGTGATACAAAAGACAAAATAAATTTTTACAAATGCTGTTTTTTTTTTTACAATAGTGGGATAAATTTTTGAGTGATCTTCTTTGTTTGAAAATAAAAGTCACAAGTTGTGATTTATTACCATTAGATCGCACGCTCCTTATGCTTGTAAGTGAATAGAATTTTTCTATTAATCACGTTAATGTTTTTTTTTTTTGATTGATTTTATTAATTTTTTATTAATGTTTCAGATTTCTGGTTCTATTTCATCATACCTTATTATTACAATTGCATTTTAAAAATATTTTTTTTTTACATAGCAATATTAATATTCGAATTGTCAAGCTAATATTTTTCATCAAAAAGAATCACATCACTCAAGATTTTTATATTGTTTACACCTATACTGATAGAAGGATTTAGTACGGAGTACTTTACTGACTTAGTAACAAAATTTTTACTCACTTATTTGGAAAAAATAAATATTTTTACCTTTTAATATTATTTGGTACAGTTTAATAAATGATTTCTTGATATGAACAAAGCCTTATTCCATGAAAATAAATATTTAGTTCCACCAAATAATATTTAGTACTTAACAGGTACTAAATATTTATTTGGTAAGTATTGTCGGTAGATGGCTATGCTTTAATTCCAATGTGATACATAACCTATTCACTGACTCAGATTATTTTATTCAACTCGATTTTGGGAGATTTATCAAACCTTTGAAAACACACATTCTCAAATGGCTTATATATTATTTCTCAGTGGAGTTAAGTTTAAATTTTTCAGGTTGTCTATTATTATTAATATATATGTTAAAAACTTGTTTAATTTTAAATTCTATAAATGTCTCAAACAAAAAAATATAATTTAATAAGATTCTTTTCTTAATAATACCTTATATTTTTACTTAAAATTATTTATTTTAATTATTTTGATTTATTTTGAGTAAAAAAGTTAGACTTTACGCTAAATTTAGTTAAAAAATCAATTTCTTTAATACCTATAAACGATTTATTGAGTAGCAATAAATAATTTGTTAAATACTACTAAATATTTATTTGGTGGAACTGAATGGGCTTTGATAAATGATTTAGTTACTATTACTTAATATTTGGTGATGAAAGGGTTGTTACTAAATCATTTAATATCTGTAACTAAATCTTATTAAATAGAACTAAATCCTTCGATCGGTGTACGTTTTTATTGTCTCCATTATCGAGCCATTGCAGTGATTTTTACAAATTTTCAGTTTATTTACTATCTTAATTAACTGATTAAAAATTAGACTCTTTAGTAATACACTTATAGATTTGTTACAAGAGAAGACAAAAAAGTTGAAAAAATTACATTATAAATAGTAATAAATGTCGCTTTGAATTTAAAACTATAAAAATTGTAGTTTGAAATAACATTTTTTAAATTCAAACTTTGAATATTAATTTTCCAAGTTTTAAATGTGATTTTTACAAATTCTGTAAAAATTACAATCTGAAATCGTAATTTTTCCAGTTTTTTATATGAAGCGTCACGTTACATTACATAACGTAATTTTTTTCTTTCTTGTTTCTGTGTATAAAGATTGATTTGTTTTTCTCACATAATCACGATATTTCTTCATACTATTCTCAAAAGTAAACATTGGAACAATAATGGAGAGTTTTGATATAGTTAAATTGTTTTGCACAGTATTTGACAAAATTCAATCGATAATATGTCGTGTACAGCATACTCCAGAATAATTCGTGCTCATGCTGGTAGTGAATAGTATTGGAGAAATAATTTCGGAATTTGCAGAAATGAAATTTGTCAAGGACTGAGCTTTTAAATATTGTTGAGCTTTAAAAGTGGTGTAATTTACACAGAAAAGGATTTTTCATCGAAAATTTTGTGTTAAATTTTCTTTTGTTAAATATTAAACATTTTTTTGTGTTGATTAACAAAAAAAAAATTTAACACAAAATTTTTTGACGCAATGGCGCAAAATTTCTTACTGTGTAATAAAAGATTTGCATACTTATGTATTTTTCAAAATCAAATATCGTTTAGGAATCACAGAAATGTGAATTCTTGAAAATCTTCAAAAATTGGCAGATTTACTGTTTCTTTGCGAGGTAACTATTGAATGCGATAACTTGCAAAATTTTAATAAATTACAAATGAAATCTTAAAACGTTAGCTATAATTTGCTCTCTGATCACACTATGCCACGAAGAAACTACTTTATTGAAGTTTAACAAAGTCGAATGATCAGAAAATTGATAATATGTCAACATAAAACTCTACCTATCACCCATGTTTGCAATTAAAGCCATTAATATTTCAATGCTAATCCGGAATAGCCATCGCAACAAATAAAATCTAAACATGCAATTTTCTTTCATGCTACTCAGTGTAAATTGCAACAACAGAAAGTCAATATATCAAGCATCTGCAATAAAAGTACACCTCATAACCATATACCATGCTTCCGAATATACCAGGAAAAAAATCTAATTATTCATTGTGTTACCGATGTTTTACATTATTCCACAACATCGTTTTAAAACTAAGTGGAGTATCTCCGTGGACATTAAATACGTCCCAACTATTTAGAAAGAATTGTGCGTTTGATAACAGAAGTTTGTGCACCACTTCACATATTGGATCGGTCTATAACATGTTAATAATAATAATAATATTGGTGTTAAATTACTATAGTTTTTTTGATAAGATATATTCCAGCTATTTCTATCAGTCCAAAGTTGGAATAATAACGATGTCGATTATATTCGGATCAAATCTTTGTGCAGTTATGATTCTTTTGGTGTATATAATTAGGCAAAAATTTTTAGTGAGAGTCCTTAATCGTATTATGTATTTAGACAAAAGACTAAATGTTAGAGAGCATGAAATGAAACATACTGTTTATTACATACTATTTTTTGTGAATCTTTTTATCTTCACGGTCATCCATTTTTTGATGATCCTACAATTCCCGACATTAACATCAGTACTTATTCGCTATGTGCATAGCATGACTGTTTTTGGAGTGATTTTACAGTACTCATTGATTCTAAGCATGATTAATAAACGATTCAAAGTCATTCAATCAAGAATATTGAACTTCAAAAAAGTGAAAAGAAATATGTTTGGAGCAGAAGTGTTAGTTTCGCATCAAACAGTTATAAATAATATTGATAATCTAAAATCTTCATACTACGCATTATTTGAAATATGTCAAGACGTAGAAAATTTTTACGGACTACCGATTTTATTTTCGATTTTAGCAATTGTTGTAAAAGCTATTTTCATGGTATACTTTATGATATCTGAAATAATGGGCGGGCTGAAAGGTGGTATCGCAATGTTCTATTATGGAATATTTGTACTTCAGCATAGTTTTCTTCTGATTATACTGACTTCTATAGTCAATAAAATAATTATTCAGGTACATAAGACAGTTTTTATGTTGGCAATTTTTTAATTGAATTTCACATTTTTTCAGAATGAGAAAACAGCTCGAATCATTCTTCTGGTTGTGGACAAATGTACGAATCAAAGAACTGAAGACAAAGTAAGTAGGATTAAGTTTATTATTAATTGATATTAGGGTGATGCAAAAGACAAATATATTTTTATTGATGTTGTTTTTTCTTACAACAGTGGAATAAATTTTCGAGTGACCTTCTAAGTTTGAAAATACAAATCACGAGTTGTGATTTATTACCATTAGATCGTACGCTCCTTATGCTTGTAAGTGAATGGAATTTTTCTAGCAGTCAGGTTAATATTTTTTTTCGGATTGATTACTAATTTTTTATCAATTTTTCAGATTTCTGGTTCTATTTCAACATACCTTATTATTACAATTGAATTTTAAAAATATATTTTTACATAGTAATATTAATATTCGAGTTTTCAAGCCAATATTAATCATCAAAAGAAATCAGCTTACTCGAGATTTTTATATTGTTGACTCCTACGTTTTTCATTGTCTCCATTATCCAGCCATTGCAGTGATTTTTACAAATTTTCAGTTTATTTACTATCTTAATTAACTGATTAAAAATTAGACTCTTTGGTAATACGCTTACAGATTTGTTACACGAAAAGAAAAAAAAATTGAAAAAATTACATCATAAACAGTAATAAATGTCGCTTTGAATTTAAAACTATTTAAATTGTAGTTTGAAATAACATTTTTAAATTCAAACTTTGAATATTAATTTTCCAAGTTTTAAATGTGATTTTTACATATTTTGTAAAAATTACAATCTGAAATTGTAATTTTTCCAGTTTTTTATATGAAGCGTCACGTTACATCACATAACGTAATTTTTTTTTCTTGTTTATGTGTATAAAGATTGATTTGATTTTCTCACATAATTACGATATTTCTTCATACTATTTTCAAAAGTAAACATTGGAACAATAATGGAGAGTTCCGATGTATTTAAATTGTTTTGCACAGTATTTGACAAAATTCAATGGATAACATGTCGTGTACAGCATACTCCTAAATAATTCGTGCTCATGCTGGTATTGAATAACTATCTATCTAATACCTTCACTTATCAAAAAGCAAGACTTTAGTACGCTACGAGAATATTTTCTTTTCCGAAATTATTGTCGGTACTTTTATTTTGTAATTTATTGAATAATAAATAATAGATTTGCGCGCAAAGCTAAATCAAAATAAATTAAAATAACCTGAGTGATATATATTATTTAATTTAAATTTAAATCTACTCTCCCGCCTTCATTTATTTACTACGAGTTGAACGCCTTACCGCGTTCCAACGGGCGAATTAAAAGAATAAATTTACTATAGCCAATTGGGGGCTATATAACAGAGATTTGTCGAAACCTCGTCAAAGCGCCGAGAATTCGTGCTTCAGTTTTTCAAATTTTGTTTTTAATTATTAGTGTAGATTGATAGGAATTTTAAATAAATTACACTCGATGTTTGGGACAACAGGAAGAAATTTATTGTCCCAGAGGAGGAAAAATCTGATGGTCAGATAAAAAACCTCCTCGATGATAATTACAAGAAATAAATGTGTGTTAATGTGTAATTGTTGTTTAGTCAGGGTAGGACCTGAGCTATTGTTATTTCGTCAGGATAGGACCTGAGCTATCGTTATTTCGTCAGGATAGGGCCTGAGCTATTGTTATTTAGTCAGGATAAGACCTGAGCTATAAGAATAATAAATTGTCTCTTGGTGAGACCAGTTTAATGCGTATTGCCAATTGTAGGCGAATACTGATGACTCTTCTGGAGAGTGCTGTTAAATTGTATGTGTGTGAGAGA